GTGGTGGTGGTGGTGGTAGTGTTTGAGTTGGTGGTTGATTCCTCCTCACTGGGTGTAACACTATTATCACCAGTATCTTCTTGTGAAGATGTGGCAGGAGCTGCAGTAGATGCTGAGGAAGAGGATTCTGTTGCTGGAATATCATTAGTAGATGTATTTCCACTTGATCCACTGTGGCTTTCTGCATTGTGCTCCTTCTCCTGGCTCTCTTGGGTGACTGTAGGCATTGGTCCCTGCAGTTGAGGTTGGGAAGCCTGTGGAACTTCATGGTTCACATTGGGTTGACTGGAAGATTGCGGATCTCGTGGCACCTGAGGTTCCTTATTTGGTGCATCTTGTAGTTTTTCTCCCTGCTGAGGTTTAGAGTTATCTCCTGGTAACAAATCCTTCTCTTCACTATCATGTCCTTGTTCACGATCCTGCTCTTCCACAGCGTTAGGACGCTGTACTGCTGGTTTACCGAGAGGAGGAGCGGCAGGTGCTGGAGATTCCTGACCGCGTTCACCTTTTACACCTTGCAACGCAGCTTCTTTTTCAGCCTTCAAATTACTTGTAAGAGAAGCGCCACTACCTTCTCTTCTCTCTTCATCTTTCAAAGGCTCAACTTCCAAATGAACTTCTTCCGAATCCCGATGCTCAGTCTCACCTCGTGTTGAATGCTCCTGCACATTTACACCCCCATTGGTAAGATTACCGCCTGCAGCTGCATGAGGCTCAGGGACAGGTGCAGAAGGAACCGGTGGTTGTGGTGCAGGAAGAGAAAGAACAGGATGAGGAGGCGTAAGAGGACTCCGTTCTACTACTTGATTCTCTTCTGTTGCCTTACACACACATGGAACGCCTAGAAGCAAAACCGTGAAACAGAACAAACGGAACACAAGCATAATAGCAGAATTTATGTTTTCTTGTGTTTGGCCACTTGGCTAAAGAAAGAATATAGAAGATCCAGATAAGAAACAGAAACATATCAAATAAAAGAACAGTACAAAAACAGTTAATAAACCAATAAAACTACCAACAGATCATACAAGAATAAAGAGTCCAATAAAGGAACACCACAAGCAATGCCCATGATAAGAAAGAAAAAGAAAAATAAGAACAGTACCATCAGTCTCAATACACACATACTCCAGACAACTAAAGGTATGCATACGTCCGCATACAATTATTAATATAAATGTGTATTATTAATTGTTTTCCTCCTCACTGCAAAAAAACAGATCACCAACACGGTGAAGGATGAAACACACAAGCACCTAGCAAACCACAAACACACAAACAAAGAGATATTAATCATTAGCCCAATTTACACAGTAAACACAGAAATATACACCAACTATGGGTGTACGTCTATGTGTGTGTATAAACGCAATCATAAATATAAATTCATCTATTATTATTATTATTTCTTTTTCCCACTGCAAAAAGCAGTTCATCATCATAACAGTGCAAAGCCCAAGTGCACACATAGAGAGAGTCTCCAAGAACACACACACACACAATGGAGTAGCAATAATAATTATTATAGGATAAACACACAGAGAAAGCAAAAACACAGAAAACACATTAATATTAAGAAACATAAAAAAGAAAAGAAAATCCCAACAGGTGGAAGATTAGTTAGACTGGAGAGATGCATGCAAAAAAAGAAGAGAAGAAAACAAAGGATGACCTGACTCACACCACCACCACCACCATTACAATCAGCACACAAGAATACAGGCCAGTGTAACCACAATCAGTAGTGGTACACGCACCCACACAGAACTGCTGATACTGCTGCTGCTGTCTGCATCACCCTTCTTGTTGTTTGTGAGTTCAGGAGGAACTGTTGTTGTTGTTGTTGTGGTGGTGGTGGTGGTGGTGGTGGTTGTATTTGTATTATCAGCAGAACCTTCTGGGTTACCTGTTGAATCACTCGCTGCAGTTGTATTATCATTCTCAGTTGATGCATTATTTGAACCACCATCACTTGCTGTGGCTGAACTGCTGGAAGAAGGTGTAGTTGGTGATGGTGCATTTTCACTTGCTTCATTGTTTGCATGTTGAGGATTTTCTGAAGGAGCATCACTGTTCTCTGCAGTAGAAGCAGCAGCAGGAATAGTAGCTTCAGAAGGAGAAGTACGACCATCAGCAACACCACCAGTACCCACAGCAGAGCCAGTTTCACCATTATTACCGGGAGCACCGTTACCATGACCATCAGCACCAGGTAAACTATTTTCACTGTTGAGGTCTTGCTGATTGTTACCAATTTCACCAGGACCCCTACCAGGCTCTTCAGGAACATGGGCTTTTGGTGTTGGTGGACAAAGTTTACCAGAACCGGGAGGGCACTGCTCTTGAGTGTCACCCTCTTTGTTAGGGCAACTCTCCCTATCAGAAGATGTCCCACAATCATCAGTACGAGCATCTTCATGTTCACTACCGGTAGTAGAGCACGGAGGATCAGTTTTACCGTGAGTACAATCTTTACCACCACCAACAGGTGGTGGAAGAGAAACACCAGGTTGTGAAGATGGACCAACATCACCAGCAGGAGAGGTAGAACAAGTTTCATCATTAGAAGGAGTTTGACCTGCAGGACATGGACCAGAAGAATCAGCTTTAGCACCAGGAAGAGGAGGTGGAGGAGGAGGAGGTGGTGGTGGACCCGCAGAAGGGGCAGGAGGGCAAATTTTACCGTCAGTAAGTTCAGTACCATCACTACATTTGCCATCTGTAGGAGTAAGAATCTTCGTCTCACTCTCCGTATCAGGGACTTGGTCGGAAAGATCGGCGGCAGGCACTTCTTCAGCGAGGACGTGCACACACGCACATGAGAGCAGGAGAGCGAGGATACACAGCACGTAGCGCATCATTATTATTATTATTCCAATGGTTGCAGGTATTGTGGATATCGTTGCACCTGTCTTACTTTAATGGAATGCACAATAAAGAAGAGAGTGAAAAACAGAAACAAACAAACATACACCAATACAACAAATACTCACAGTGGAGAGAGAGAGAAGCAGCAACTGCACAGTAAGCAGGAAAAAAGAAATATCCCGCTTGTATGATAATATTATATACCCCTTAATAGAAAAAAAAAGAGAACACCCCAGAATACCCAAATAATAGGGAGAGCCAAACACACACAATACCCCATGGCTCTAGTTTATGTATTAAATTACTGCACACACACACACATCTGTGTGTACTAGCAAGAGATGTATACCGTCAGTGAGCAGAACAGCCCAGTTTTCTGCACACACAACGGGAAAAACAAGTAATGGAATTATTAGAAAAAGATCACACACACACAAAAGAAAAAGAAAAGATATTCCAATTAAAAGAGAAAGCTGGTAAACATATTATTAATTTCATTCACCCATGGGGGATGTACGCAAATATGATTATGTTAGTTTAACCATTATTATTATTTGTCCTCAGATGAGTCCCACTGTTCAGTACACAGTAGCGGAGAACAATAAAGCCACAATCAACAGCGGTGCTGCAGTGCGCATCCACACAGGACTGATACTGCTGTCAACATTAGCCTTCATGTGCATAGTGGGAGCGATCTTGCTGATATCTGCGTTGGGTACAGGAGATGGTGTTGAAGTTGGTGCTTCAGTGACAGTGTTCTCGGTGCTCGGCTGAGTAGTGGAAGTGGTTTCTTGTAAAGCTGTATTTGTAGTGATACCTGCGGAAGATTGCTGGGTAAGATTAGATTCGGCAGGTGTACTGTTATC